CCTTCCCTTCCCTTCCCTTCCCTTCCCTTCCCTTCCCTTCCCTTTTTCTTTTATTGTTTTGTTGTTAAAAGAGTTTGATTTGTTTAAGTCCTTCTCTCAAAAACTAAAAGCAAACAAACAATGTGGTTTATGAGAAACGTTTTTATCATCTTCTAGCCAAGCACCATTATTTCCAGAGGTTCCTTGTAAGTATTTAAGATAACAAATGTTAAAGCAGAGGCAGAGTTCTTGTCCTCTTTCTTGGAGGTCCTTGGCTCTCTGGAGATGAAGGAGTTCATGCTTCCCACCTCCTAGAGGTCCCAGGGCACGGATGGAGTGTGTCCCCCTGGCCCCAGGCTGATGCTGGGCTGCCCTGCACCCCATCCCTGTGCTGGGCAGCAGGGAGAGCCTCTGCAACCAGTAGGCAGGCTCTGATGAGCTGCTCGGCTGGGGGCAAAAAGGGGCCAATCGTGAGGTGAGAAATCTAGTGGGGAATGGGTCCGTGCTGGAAATACAACCTGCAGTTAGCTTTCTGGAAGGGGAGCAGTAGGCAGAGCAGACGGTCGGGAGGTGAGTAAACTAAGCAGGTGATGGGTCTGCGCCGCAAAGGCAGGCTGCAATTGGCTGCTCGGATGGGGACCAAAAGTCCAAGCGGCCAATCGGCAGGGACGGGATCCAGTGTGGAGCGGTTCCGTGCTCGGCAGGCAGGCTGGGATTGGCCACCTGGGTAGGAGATCCGCGGGCAGAGCGGCCAATCGGGCGGTGCGGGATCCTTTCGGGAGGGGGCTGCGGAGCAGGTGGTGCCGGGGATGGGGGGGTTTGCCGGGGGCGCGGGGTGGCTGCGGGGCAGTGCGGGCGCGGCGCGGTGCCGGCCGGCTGCTAGGTGGAGCCCGCGTCCGCGCAACCCAGATCCGGGCCCTCGCCGCTCCCCCGCCCCTCGGCTCGCCGCCCGCCCGGCTCCGTGCGGCCGCCGCCGGGCAGGGCAGCAGCGCCGCGCCGCCCGCCGCCTCCTCCTCGGGCCCCCGTTCCCCGCTCCCGGCCCGGCCCTGCGGGGGACACGGGTGCTGCGGGTCCCGGAGCCCCCTCCCTCCCCGTGTGCGCTGTGCCGAGCCGTGCCCAGCCGTGCCGGGCCATGGGGCCCCCCCGCGCCCGCTGAGCACCGCGCGGGGCGCGCCCGCCCAGCCGCCCCCTCCGCGCCCGCGGAGCCGCCCCCTCCGCCCGCCCGCCCGCCCGCGCCGAGCCGGGGCTGGCGGTCTCCGCAGCGGGAGGAGGAGGAGGAAGGATCCGGGGTGTCGGCGGAGCGCGGGGGGCTGAGGACCACCCGCCTCCCTCCGCGCGGGCGCCTTTGTGTCCCCCAGCCCCGGCGGAGCGAGGGGCCGCGGGCAGGGGAGCGGATGCGAAGAGCGGCTGGTGCTGGAGGGGAGAGAGAGAAAGGGGGATGGTGGAAGATTTCTCTCCTTTTTTATTTTTTTTTTTTTGGTGGTCTCTTCGGCAGCGGCTGTTCTTCCCCAGCAGCAGCAGCAGCAGAGGCGGCAGCAGCAGCAGCAGCAGCAGCACAGGCAATGACTCTGCCGCATCCGAATCGCCTGGCCGGTGGTGCCGGCTCCGGAGACATCACCTTGCTCTGAAGTTGCCCACCTGGAGGAGGTAAATCGGAGCGGGGCTTTCGTCCAGAGGGGTCGGCGACGGCGGGGAAGAGGAGGAAGCGATCGCCTCTCCCATCCCCACACACCCTTGTCCTCCGGGAGGAAGCTTGTGTAGCAGAAGAACACGGCAGAAAAGGAGAGACTTCTACTTCTATTTTTTCCTTCCTTTTTTTTTTTTTTTTTTTTTTTACATTTTTCCTTCCTTGAGGGACGTTCCGTGCTTCTCGTCCTCCCCTTTTCCTTCTGGCTGGGGGCTTTGGTACTGTGGCCAGGTCTGCTTCCTACTCCCTCCCCTGGCTTTAATGGCTGGATTGTGGCAGCAGCTCTCTGCTGCAGGTTGTTGAGGATCTGATGGGGACTCGCATCTCAGGAGCCGGAGGTGAATAAAGGTAACTAACCACCCAGCGGATGGATGCTCACCAGCCCTTGCCTGGCCCTCAGTTGCACCCTTGCTCGGTTGCATTGGGCTGAAGGGTGCCGGCCGCCCTGAGCGCTCGCTTGGATTGAATTATTCCATAATAACGGTAGTTTGCCTTCAGGGGGGCTGGATCCTTCAGGTAACGGGAGAGCATCTCTCTGGGTCTGCATGGTGCGGGGGGGGACGATAGTGGAGAGGAGGGGTGTGCATCTTGTTGGGAAATGCCTTGTAGGCTCTAGCCTGGTTGGCCGTGGACGACTAGGGTGGCAAAGGCAGTGAGGAGATGGAGGGGACCCGGTAGGTTTTGTTCCTACTCTCTCTTCTGTTTTTCTGTGAAAGGCACCGCGTTGGACCGGTGGGTTTGCTGGTGTTACACTGAGAAATTCCTGAGTTTCATTATGTCCCTCCACCCCGTCCTCATGCCCACCCTTTCGCGGATCTACGTTGCTCTTTAATTGCTGAAGGGTGCCTCGGGAAGCAGTCGCTTTCCTGGATAACAGGGGGCATGGGTGGGGGGATGTTGCCGAACTGGGGGTGTGCGCTAGGGGGATCGCCTGTTCGTTGGTATGAGGTGGTGGGGTCGCGGTCTGCATCCAGCCGGGGGCCCCGGGTTACAGGTAGGCGCGAGCTTCGCCTTCCCGTGCAGCCGGAGAGCGGAACGGACGGCGTAGGTAGGGATGTGCAGGGCTTCCCACCTCCTGCCTGCGAGGTTGCGTTTGCTGGCTCTAACAGTATAGGATTGGCGTTCGCCAGAGGGATTTTTGAGCAAGGGCCGATATGTATGGCTGGAGGAAGAAAACCGCGTTTTTAATGCCTTTTTTTTTTTTAACGCTTTGTTTATCTGCTCGCTTAATTATTTATTTGTGTTCTCCTTGCAATTATCTTTTGACTGCATAAGTTGGAAAATACGGTTATAAGGCTGATGGTTGCTCCCTGCCATCAGCCAGAAAGTAACCCGTTCCTGTTTCCCAGTCTGCGGAGCTTACATCGAGCTGGTGCCCATTATTGCTAATGAAGATGTAGGTACAGTGCCCCAGAGATGTTCCCTGGGTATTTGGGGATTGCCTTCAAGGATGAGTTTCATCAGCAGCCTTGTGTCCAGAGTTGTTCCCCCCAGCAGCGTTGACCCCCTCAGTACATGTAGTTGGGTTTTTTACCCCCACCCTTTCCCTGTGGATAGGCAGATGTTTAGTTTTGCTTGAGGGATGGCGAGGTAAGAAAGGAGCTTCTCTTTCTCTCCCTTTCCTGATAGGCATGAGATTCTTCTCTGCGGTAGTTAAAACAACTCGTATTATGGCCAAAAGCAATGTATTGTCTGCTTGTCAACTGTAGCGATCATTATTGCTTTAGCCAAAACAACCCGTGTCTATTGTATTTACTTTCCTGTTTAGATCACTCATTAGGAGTTATTGCCATTTCCACTCTCACAGTTCTGGTTCCAGGCAGCCAGGTGCTTAGACGGAGACTGAGATGCAAGAAAAAGGGTGAAAATGCCATCTGTTTCTTGATACAAGGCAGATAGGTAGCCTGCTGGTTGCAATCGCTTTCTGTATTACAATCCTGATTATTCCAGAGTGTAGGATCAAAATTTTCAAAGGTGACCAAAAAAAAATACCTTCCCTGGAGTTAAAAAGAAATAAATTCCATTTTCATTGTGGAATGCTGTCTCTTAAGAGCACAGCCAATGCTGCCTGCTTGGTATTGAGTAGTAGCATGTGCTTTGTAGAGCTCATTTATCATCATTTCCAAGGGTTCTCAATATGAACAGGCTTCTACTGTGTATTCATTAGGAAAAATTCTTTCATGGAGTTTTTTTATGGGGGTAAACCAGGTGTTGTAGGTTAAAATGGGCTGCTGTCAAAAAGTCAGCAGTCGTCACTTGAGAATACCAGATCAGGAAGGGAGAAAATCTGTGCACCCATACTGATGGTGGGAGATAAAGTTCAGGTTAGGGCTCCACCATAAAGCTGTGTTTTTTTCCCTAAAAAAGCTGTATTTTTTACTTAAAGGTAAAACAACTGCTCTGAGGGAACAGGAATCAGTCAGCCTTGTTATGGTTGAGGCTGCTTCTGTTCCTGCTCCGTAAGATTACTTTTTCCTTATTTAGGCTTGGTTTACTATAAAGTGACTGTTGTCTTGTTACCTGCTAGCAAAAAATAAAGTCGATACAAATCTCTGGTATGTTCATTTCCAGAAGGACTGAAGTTTTTATAAAGCTAGTCTTGACCTGTGAGTTCCGTATAAATTCTATTATTAAATAAATATGTATTTTCCCTTTTCTTCCAGGGGTGGTTAGGAGAGGGTATGTTTAATTTAACATTTATTCCAGAGCAAGATAAATGGCAGTGTAGATTGATGACAGTGAAAACGCCGAGTCCTGCTTTATGGGGCAATGAGATTTTAATGGTATTTATTAAGTTTAAGGCTACAGTCCTCGCTCAGATGTTTTTTGTGACAACAGTGGGACCTAGGGGTTTGGTTTCTCGGTGCCCTCTGGAGATGAAGTAGTTTATGTCTCAGCCTAGGAAATTTAAATTCGTGCCTGAGCACCTGCCGGTCTGTCCCCTCCTTTGTTTGCTCGGCCGTGCATCCCACAGGTTGGGATGATGCTATGGGGACCACGTCTCTCCCGGTCGAGGTTGATGTGGCAGAGATGCTCGGCTTGCCTGTCCAAGCATTAATTGCTTTTGCTCCTGAAAGAGAAAACGAATTGCCCTGCCTGCTGTTGCGAAAAATGAAGCTGGTGCTCTTTGCTGGGTGGGAGGGAAATGCAAGCAGGTTTGTAGGTGAAGATGCAGGCACACAGACCCAGCCGGCTGCCTGATGAGCTGGGTGTCTGTGTGTTCCCCAGCGTTGCAGGGCTGTTACAAAAATAAATAAATAAATAAATAAATATTTAGAGGGAGGTAAGCCAGGACTGAAGAGGAATATGCATGACCTTTAGCTTTAGACAACACTCAGTTGGAGGGCCTGATGGTGCTGTCAGGGTTTTCACATTCAGAGCATGAGTGTATGCATCATCAATACGAATAAATGAGATGCACACAGGAGAGTGAAGTCTTTGTAAATGGAGAAGTCCTAGGAACGGATGATTTATTATTACAGATTTTAATACTAATAGTGTTGGGACTGGTGTAGATTGACTAGGAAGCTATTTAGTGCGTGACACAGTATAAAGGATGGGTTAATGATTGATGAAAGTGATGGAATTCAGGGAGCAGGAATGGATCATGGAAAAGCTAAAACACACAGGACGGGCACGAGGATTTCTATGCTTTAAATAAGTTCACTTTTTTTTTTCTGTTGTAATTATGTTATTTGGTGGTTGCGGAAACAATCCAATGCTGTGATTGGAGTGATTTTGATAAAAATTCGTACTCCTTAGAGCATTTTTGCACGTCAAAAGAGGTTTGGAAGAACACCTCAAAAATTAATTTTTTTTAGAGCAGTGATCATCTGAAAGCTAGACATCACAATAATGGTGTACTACTTGGGACAGTACTGAGACATCAGGACAGCCCTGCAAAATAAAAATGCTTTTTCCTGCCTCTTTTGATGATGGACTGCTTATTGGGGTGGGATGCACTTGGTGAGCATTGATGTTTTGGAGAGATGTTTATTGTAGTTCATTTGGACTCCCAGTTCTTCCCTTCTGGTCCTTTTCTCATCCGGTAGATGCCTTCCTGCTGGGATGTGAATATGAAAAGTTCACCACGTTGCCAAATTTAGAGTATACATACACACTTGAGTCCCTGCTATGTCTGAAGCCAGTGCTTTCAGTTGTCTGTAGGATGGAGAGCTAGAAATTGTGTCATTTGCACCAGTTCACTGTGCTCTGATGTATTTGTAGGAACATACCTGTCCCAGCAAGGCAGTCTGACATGCTGGCCTCTGACTTCATCATCTCCTGGGGTCATGTCTGCCTTGCCAAATGTTTGTCACGATCCTCACCAGCACTGAATATCAGGCTCTTTAATCCCTACTTGAGACGCTTGTGAATATGTCCTTGTTTCTGTAGGTGCTGAGATGATCTAGCACTCCCTGATTTCATTCTGGTGCCTACTGGCATGGAAGCTCCCAGAGCAGGCTGATGAAATAGAAGGAGAACTTTGCTTTTAAGCATCTACTTTTAATTCTTGGCTACTTTAATGGCAAGGAAGCCACCTCCTACTCAAATCTGTGATGTGATTCTATCTAAGATGTTATCTCATTGCCTGTTTTTGGCCTCCAGGTTTGCAGTGTAATGCTTGTATTATGTTCCTCACTAGATAATGTCTACAGTGCAGTCTGAAATGCATGTGTCTCCTGGCTGTAAACTAAGTGTTCATTTTTGAGACAACTTCTCTAAGGACACCTTGACACTACAGCTTTTTCTTCAGCACTCTTTTCTGAGAGCCTTCTGGTTTTACCTGTAAGGCAGATATTTTTATCAGTCATTGCACCAAGCATCTGTAGCAAGGTAGCTACTCTTTTCAGGTAATGAAAACTTTGTTTTAATTGTGTTATGGACCACTGTTTTACTTACTAAGCAGTGCTCAGTGTGGGATTTTTTTTAGCCTGCCTGAAACCTCTGTGTTTTTCTCTGGCTGAGACATAAGCACTACACTGTTTTTTAAATGGCCTTTGTCTTTCTGTCTTTTTTTTTTTCTTTTTTTCCTCTCTTTTTCAACTTTTCATCTCTACTTCTTCAGGCCCACTCTCATTCAAGGCCCACTCCATCACTGCATCTGTGATGGAGTTCCCAGTGTAGTCAGTGGAGCAGTACTTTTGGCTTCCCTGTGAGGGGAAGATGCTCAAGAATCTCAGATATGTTATCTTCTCAAAAGAAGCTCCAGAAACTCAGATGTGGTATCTTTTCAAAAACATTCCCCGTCTTCATCATCAAGTTTCTACTTATTGTGTTGTAATGTCTTTGCCAGAGGTGGCATTTCAGGCTGAACAAAGCAGTTGTTGAAGATGAAGAGTTGAAAG